ACCAGTTGTCCCTTTCTTCTTAACTGTTTTTCCCTTTTGGAATGGGAATGTCTATCTCAGGGGTGGTGAACCTTTATATGTTGTAAGGTTACATAAATTTAGATGTACTTAAAAATGTACATTATTTTGTGAAAATCATATTATGACTTAATTTCAAAAAATGAAAACTCTGTTAATTTTAAAGTTAACCTTTTAATGACTTTTTTTGCATCTGCTTTTTATTTGAAAGCATTTGAATGTTTGGTTACAGCACAGAGGTCTGCAGTTTCAGCTGATCCTATAGATGGGTACCGGTCACTTGTGACCTTAAGTGCGTCCTGATTTAGGCTCGGTAGGAGAAGGTAGATTTGCAGCAATATGTGGTTGGAAAACAAGAAAGCATTTTGGGGGTGTGTTGCCGAAGGTGTGGACAGTCTACCGCATTTTCCCACATTTCAATTGGATCTTTTTCAGCATCAAACAGTGATGTTAAAATGTCCTCAACTGGGAGTTCAGTCAGTTCCATCTGTAGTTCTTTAGGTGCCGTGGTGATATTAATTAGGTGAGGCTAAACTGCTAATGTGAGTGCCGTGTCATGATTCTCAATGTTAGTGACCTTTTCATCGTATTCTCCAGTTAATAGTCTATAACAGCTGTGTATTCTTTAAATGATAAGTATGTATCATCCTGCTCATCAGTGACCTTTCTAACTAGGGAAAGTGTTCACCTGAAGTTTCCTTTTGAAGAAGGATCGGATTTTTTCCTTTTGAAGAAGCTTGGATTATTTTTGTGCTGCAAAGTGCATATAGACTTAGTTTTACCTTGCAAAGGCGTATTTAAGCTGTTTTCATTTGACATAGCACATGGAAATGCTGCATTCCTGTAGGAATCATCTTTCAGTAATTCACATTGCTGATTTTGTTCTTCATACAATTTAACTATCAGCATTCCTATAGAAAATATAAAATTTAACTATCTGTTCTTGCAGAGGTAAAATTTTGGGTAAGGCCTGTCCCTAGGTTAGGCAACACATTTTGAACTGATATGCAAATCCGCCCTGAATATCTGGTCTTTTAACTTTAGCATGTTACAAAACCAACTATGTCATGTTGCATTTGCAGAAAAATAGTTAACAATATGTGTAACTTGTTGCCAAGTGCTACTTAAAATTATAGCTTTAGCACAGACATTTTGCTGATGCAAGTTACAATGAAAAGACCTGAGAGGCTCGGCGCCTATAGCTCAACCGGCTAAGGCGCCAGCCATGTACACCTAAGGTGGTGGGTTCGAATCCCCAGCCCGGACCCGCCAAACAACAATGATGGCTGCAACCAAAAAATAGCCGGGCGTTGTGGCGGGCGCCTGTAGTCCCAGCTACTTGGGAGGCGGAGGCAGGAGACTCGCTTGAGCCCAGGAGTTGGAGGTTGCTGTGAGCTGTAATGCCACAGCACTCTACCCAGGGGGATAGCTTGAGGCTCTGTCTCAAAAAAAAAAAAAAAAAAAAAAGACCTGAGAGCCTGGGATCTCTTACCTTGTGTCAACCGTTCATGCTTTCCTGTCATGGGAAGTATCCCAGCTGTACGTACACTCACTAAATTTACCAAGTCCAGTCTGACTTAGTGAGATTTATCTTGAAAGTTGTTGAACATACCTATTTCCCACTTTCTGTTCACAGGAGTGCCCCAAGTGAGTAACTCTTTGTAGCAAAGAAAATCTTCTGTTATGACCCGAATGAAATACAAAACCTACACTGAATGTTGTCAGTTGATTCATCCAAAGCGATTGAATGATGTGTAGAAGTGTTGTGTGAAGTTGTCTGTGAAGTTGACAGCTAATTCAGGCTGCCAGTCAGTAATAGTTCTCCCTGAAAGAGGCAGTTGTTTGCAATGTTACTGAGGTCTAAGCATCCTCCAACTTCAACAATGCATTCTTTGACCATTTCCACATCACTGAATGGCTTCCTTTTTCCTGGGCATATAAGCTACTTTATAAGTTGCTTCAGTGGCATTGTTTCTGGGCTTATTGCTGCTTGAAAGAATTGCCTTTACTTTTATTTAAGCTTTAAGTTCTGTAGTAACCTTTCGTGCTTCTCCCTCTAATTTAAAATATTTGTGGTCCTCGTGAGTGTTATAATACTGATAAACATTCAATTTCTTTAATGTTGATATTACAGTATCACAAAGCAAGGACATCATTATTTATTTATTTATTTAGAGACAGAGTCTCATTTTGTCACTCTTGGTAGAGTGCTGTGGCATCATAGCTCATAGCACTCGTAGCTCATAGCAACCTCAAACTCTTGGGCTCAAGCGATTCTCTTGCCTCAGCCTCCTGTGTAGCTGGGTCTACAGGTGCCCGCCATAATGCCCGGCTGTTTTTAGAGATGATGACTTGTAGCTCCAGCTGGTTTGGAACTCCTGAGCTCAAGCAGACCTCCCACCTTGGCCTCCCGGAGTGCTATGATTACAGGAGAGAGCCACCTTCCCCCAGTCAGGTCGGGGAAGTTAGAACAAAATCATTAGTGGAGCAGCTGTCAATTTAGCCCTTGTGGCTTACTAATGTTCTAATTGTGCCAGTCAATCTGGGAGGGTTATTTTTAATTATTTTTTATTTTTTTGAGGTAGAGTCTCATTTTGTCACCCTGGGTAGAGTGCTGTGACATCATAGCTTGCAGCACCCTCAAACTCTTGGGCTGAAGCAATCCTTTTGTCTCAGCCTCCTGAGTAGCTGGGACTATAGGTGCCCACCACAACGCCTGGCTGTTTTTAGAGACAGGGTCTCACTCTTGCTCAGGCTGGTTTTGAACCTGTGAGCACAGTATTTCATTGAAAGTTATTTTAGGCTCGGCGCCTATAGCTCAACCGGCTAAGGCTCCAGCCATGTACACGTAAGGTGGCGGGTTCGAATCCCCAGCCCGGACCCGCCAAACAACAATGACGGCTGCAACCAAAAAATAGCCGGGCGTTGTGGCGGGCGCCTGTGGTCCCAGCTACTTGGGAGGCGGAGGCAGGAGACTCGCTTGAGCCCAGGAGTTGGAGGTTGCTGTGAGTTGTAATGCCACGGCACTCTACCCAGGGGGACAGCTTGAGGCTCTGTCTCAAAAAAAAAAAAAAAAAAAAAAAAAAAAAGAAAGTTATTTTATTCTTTGGCATTTTAATGCAGTATGTCCATTTTAAAAATAAAAATACAAAAGATGAGAAAAAATATATTAATCAGCATAAAAGGATTTGCTCTGTAAAATTTGGTCTCAGTCAAACAGCTGTACGTAGACCTAGAAGACCACACATGTCCTTTAGGCTGCAGGTTCCCACGCCTGGTCCATGGTCCTACTGTCGTACTTTGGGAGCCTGTAACTAATTCATTTCCCAGGCTTATAGCTGGAGAGGAAACTTGCCCTAGGATGAATCAAGCCACGGGTCTCATCTGTATGTCATTCAGTTGAGACTTCGGACTTTTGATGCTCAAAAGAATTAAGACTTGGAAGACTACAGGGATGGGATGAATATATTTTATATGTGAGAAGGATATGAGTTTGGGGGTATCAGGGACAGAAGACTGTTGTTTTGAATGTCCCTTCTAAAAATCTTGTTGAAAATTTAGTTGCAACTGGGACAGTATTAAGAGGTAGGACAATAAAAAACGGTTAGGTTGGCTGGACACTGTGGCTCACGCCTGTAATCTCAGCACTTGGGAGGCTGAGATGGGTGGATTGCCTGAGCTCACGAGTTTGAGACCAGCCTGAGCAAGAGTGAGACCCCGTCTCTAAAAATGACCGGGCATTGTGGTGGGCACCTGTAGCCCTAGCTACTACGGAGGCTGAGGCAAGTGAATTGCTTAAGCCCAAGAATTTGAGGTTGCTGTGAGCTCTGATGCCACAGCACTCTACTGAGGGTGACATAGTGAGACTCTGTCTCAAAAAAAAAAAAAAAAAGAAAAGGTTGGGTTGTGAGGCTGACCCCTTATAAATAGGCTAATGTGGGCTCATTATTGTGAGAGGGGGCTGTGGCTTTACAAAAGCAAGTTCAGCCCTCTGCTCTTGCTTGCATTTTCTCGCTCTTCTGCCTTCCGCTGTGGGAAGTGTGCAGCATACAGGCCCTCACCAGGTACTAGCCCCTCGCTCGTGTACTTCCTAGTCTACAGAACTGTAAGGAAAAAAACCTTTTTTATAAATGACCTGGTCCCAGGTATTCTGTTATAGCAATACAAAATAGTCCAAGACAGCCCTTCTAAGAAAAAGTACCAAGTGTCCCCATTACTCCTCACTGCCCCGTCTCCCTCTTACAGCGCCGTGCAGAACGGCAGAGGAGAGGAGCTGTCAGTTTAAGTTTTTCTTTCACCTCAGAGTTCTTGACTGTGTAAATTAATCTCGTTCCTCGGTTCTTCTTTCACACATACTCTCGCTCATTCCCTTACGTGAACACACGTACCAGCCACTGTCTACTATGACAGGCTTGAACTCCTCCCGTAATTCCTGCACGAGACCTCCACGAACGAAAATTTATTCTAGAGGTTATTTATTAACATTACTGAAAGAGAAACTTTATGGGTCAAATATTTTGGTAAGATCTCCTTAGAAATCAATCTGTTTCAAGTCCTCAGTAGACGTTTCAATGTAATGTGTTTGCTTCTGGTTCTGGGTGATTCAATTGTCCCCACAGTATGTTCAAAAAGACTTTCATTTAAATTAATACATAATATTTCATTTTATTAAAAAATAATATTTAGTTTCATCTGAAATATTCTGGCCTTTTTTGAAGTGCTATTCAACACAACTAAATGTGTGTCTTTATGTAGCTTGCGTGGGAGTTTATTCCCATTAAGGAAAGTTTTGTTGTTTCTATCTTGGGTCAAAGTCAGAAAGATAGTATATAGGTTTTATACTATATATAATTCAACAAAGTGGAATTGATACAAAGTTTTAATTTTTGGTATGTTTATATTTGATTTATTTTGTTGTACATTTCTAGTTAATTGTGTTTTTGATGTGAAATATTCAAACTAGTTTTCTACTTTTGATTTAGGTTCAACCTTAAAGTGCAATTGCAGATTCTGGCAAGCTTCATGCTCACTGGAGTTTCTGGAGGTGCAAAGTATGCTCAGAATGGACAGCTTTTTGGTCGCTTTAAGCTTACTGAAACGCTTTCTGAAGATACTTTGGCTGGACGACTGGTGATGACCAAAGTCAATGCCGTTTATTTATTACCAGTCCCTAAAGAGAAGTTAGTACAGACCCAGGGAACCAAAGAGAAGGTTTACGAAGCTACTATTGAAGAAAAAACAAAAGAATATATATTTTTAAGGATATCCAGGGAATGCTGTGAAGAACTTAATCTTCGGCCTGATTGTGACACACAGGTATACTTGAAGGTGACCGTTTAACCATGGTTGTCTGTGGAGTCTGTCATTGCCCGGTGATATCTTTCCTCTGGTTCGCTTTTTCCTACCATAAATAAAAGTGCAACTGACTTTGAAAACTTAACTGGTAGGTTGAGAATTGGACCTCTGGTAACTGCCAGAGAAAATTGATTCTTTAAGTAACATCTGAAATGTTCCAGTCTTATGCAAGTTTGAGCTTTCTGATTAGTTTTAAATTGTTGATAGAATAGCAGAGGAAAAAATTACTTAAGTTACATTTTGGGATATCTTTTATCTGCAGTTGTGTCTGTTCTTGCTTTCTTTTTCTTCATGAGTTTTTAGGTGAATTGGGTCTTCGTTCTGCCATACGGAAGGCTAATCTTTTTTCTTTTTAAACACAAAACTTGGTGAATATTATTCATTCACAGTAAATTGATGCAGCGTCATAGGGCTGGTTATTACTCAAGATGTGATATCTCACAGATGTTTGGATTTTATCAAATACATTCTTCTTAGGAATGGTGGAATCAGATAATCTTTATCTAGAGATTAAGTAATTTATAAATGCCTGGGGTTTTTTTCTTGATTTTTTTTTTTTTTTAAGCACAGTCTCACTTTGTTGTCCTCTGGCATCACAGCTCACAGCAACCTCATTGTCGTAGGCTCAGGAGAAACTCGTGCCTCAGCCTTCCACGTAGCTGGGACTACAGGCACCTGCCACAACACCCAAGTATTTTTTCTATTTTTAGTAGAGACCGGGTCTCCGTTTGCTCAGGCTGGTCTCAAACTCCTGACCTGAAGTGATCTACTCACCTTGGTCTCCCAGAGTGCTAGGATTTCAGGTGTGAGCCATTGTGCCCGGCCTGCCTCAGTTTCTTAATAAATAAAATAAGGCTAATGATAGCATATAAATCATCAGAACTATTAAATGAGACAATCCGTGCAGAGTGCTTGATACAGTATCTGGTGATTAACAAAGAAAATGTTCGTAATTGTTATTATTCGAAGGTGATTACACTTTAAAAGAATCTCCCAGCTTGTTTCCCCAAATGGTTGCCTTTATGAACTACTCTAGTGAACTGCAGCAATGATATTTACTTTGATGTCTTTTTTAAGAAAAATTTCTTTCGTGCATTTCAGGTTGAACTTCAGTTCCAATTGAATCGATTACCCCTCTGTGAAATGCATTATGCACTAGACAGGATCAAGGACAATGGGGTTTTGTTTCCAGACATCAGTATGACTCCCACCATACCTTGGAGTCCCAACAGGTACAAAAAGGAGATTTCTTATTAAAGGAAGTTTCTTAACGTGAAATTGAATATCTGTGTCAAATGGCTCAGCGTACTTTTATCAGAAAGTTTGCCTGTGTTCTTCAGGAGATGTTTTATTAGTCAGGAGAAGAGAGTTCAGGAACACTTAGAATGAGAATTTGAACGTCCTCATGGATTTTCTTCACTTTGCTGACTTTTCTCTGTAGTCTTACTTTGATAGGATGCCAGGCAATTCAGGAATATTTCTGACTAGAAGTTGAATGGGAAAATAGGACCTTTTAAAAGTGGTTCAAATAGTTAATTTAAAATAATGTTTGACTCTGGAAGACAGTTTTGAGACTTAGTGAAATGGAGAAAGCAGGATAGAAGATAGTACTCCAGAATCTGCTCTCCAGTTGGAATGGGGTGTAAATATTGCTCTGCTTCAATTCTGTTTGGCATGTCTTTACCTTTAATTGAATTCCCTTTTGTTGCAAGCGTACACAGCAGGGTGGCTTCATGCCTGTGTTGTCCATTTTTTTGTGGGTCTTAATCCCTTTGGCCCCACCCATGCTCAGCTCCCACCCCCCTTTTAAAAACTCTCAGCGGCTCTGTACAAGTTTATTTATCACTGTGTCGGTTCACTCATGATAGTGGGCCCTTCCCGTGACTGACAGAGGGTGTGGGATCTTCAGTAAGTAGTTTCCAAGGCACCCTTGGTTCAGCGTTCAGTGGGCAGACAGGGGAAGCGTGAGCCCAGAGGATCATGTGGGGAAACGGGCAAGGCCTAAAAGGGGCTGCATTACTTCCCCTCACATTCCATTTCTTCTGCCCCTAAAAATGGAACAAAACAAACCTGCCTTTGCTCAAGCCATCTACACTCCTTGGCCTCCCAGAGTGCTAGGATTACACAAACCCCGAGTCATTTCTCCTGGCTTTTCCTTACCCTCTCTGTCCTGTCCCCTCTTTTTATTGCAAAAACCTTGAGAGGGAATTGTCTGCATATTCTTCGTATTCTTACTCACTCTAAAACCTCTGTTTTTCCCTAGCTGACTCTCCCGAAAGCCATCAGTGATCTCGTACTTGTAAAAATCCAGGGCGTCTCCTGGGTTCTCATTTGGTACAGCTTCTCTGCACGCTTCCTTTTCCTTTCACTCCTGCAGCCAGCGCTTCCCTTCAGCCTGGGCGGCTTCAGGAGCCTTCTAGGAATCTAGTCGGTCTTCCGTCCTGCCACCCGTGGCCCTGTGCTCTGGGTCCATCCACACATTTCTCCCAAAGTTAGTTTTCTAAAATAGTCATGTCATTTCACTGCTCACAGATTTCTAAACATTTCTCCTTGAGATCTTGATAGTCTGAGCAGCCTAAGCCACAGCTTTTACAGGGGTGTCCAGCTTGCAGTCCACGGGTGCATGTGGATTATTGGAGGCCTGTTTTGCTTATCTGTGGTGTCGGAATTTGCAAAAATTATGTTTGGGCCTTTTTTTGCGCATCCACTTTGGTTAGTGGTGTTTGTGTATTTAATGTGTGGCCGAAGATAATGTTTTCTTCCAGTGTGCAGCAGCAAAAAATAAAAAAGATTGAACACCCCTGCTAGGTCTTCTTAACCATGCCTTTTCTTTTCAGTTTGCCTTTACTTTTTCTGTTTGACCCTTCTTTTTGCCCTCTGAATCACCATGCCGTAGCCACATTGAGTTGCCTTGAAGTTTGTCTGATTTTCCCTGTATTTATTAGCTTCCTTATCGTTTCATTACTCTTTACATTTTTAAAATTATGGTAAAATCCACATAACATTTACCATCTTTTTTTTGTTGTTGTAGCCCTTTTTGGCCAGGGCCGGGTTTGAACCCACCACCTCCAGTATATGGGGCCAGTGCCCTACTCCTAATATTTGCCATCTTGACCGTTTAAAATGTACAGTATGGTAGCGTTAAGTATATTCGCATTATTGTACAGTCAACTTTTTCATCTTGCAAAACTGACACTGTATGTCTGTTAAACAACTCCCCATTTTCCCTTCTCCTTAGCCCTGTGTCCTCCTCTGTAAGTGATTTCCTGTCTCTGAAGGAATCTGTGCCCGTTGTTAGCCTGTTGAAGATCTCCCTGTCCTTCAAGTCAGCCCAACTCCAGCACTCTCTCTTTCAAGGAGGAGAACCTGATCCTTTCATTTCATTATTGAAACAGTATTTATTGAGTGCCTGCCATGTGCTAGGCTCAGTTAGTTTTGTGCTTTTGAGCATAGTTTCCCTCAGATTAATTTTTGTCAGTTGGATACATTTCTACTTTAATCTTTTTCTTTTTTGCAGTTTTTGGCTGGGGCTGGGTTTGAACCCGCCACCTCTGGCATATGGGGCTGGCGCCCTACTCTTTTGAGCCACAGGCGCCGCCCCAATTTTACTTTTCTTGCTCACCTCTGACCTTTGTAAAGGAAAGGATCATGTCTGATTTGTCTTTGAACGCAGTAGAGTCTTGCATATTCGTTATTCATATTTGACACATTTAAGTTAATAGGAATTTTAAGTTTAAAGAAAATCAAGATTTTTTTCTTATTTTTTTTGAGACAGAGTCTCACTGTGTCACCCTTGGCAGTAGAGTGCTGTTGCATCACACACAGCTCACAGCAACCTCAGACTCTTGGACTTAAGTGATTCTCTTGCCTCAGCCTCCCAAGTAGCTGGGACTGCAGGCGCCTGCCACAGTGCCTGGCTATTTTTTGGTTGCATTTGTCATTGTTACTTAGCAGGCCCAGGCTGGGCTTGAACCTGCCATCCTCGGTGTATGTGGCCAGTGCCCTACCCGCAGAGCTATGGGCACTGAGCCAAAAATTAGGGTTTCAAATGTGATGTCACGTCAGTAAACTTTAGGCGTTTTTATTTGATGTGCTCACTTATGAAAATTATGTTGTATATAGTATAGTCAGATATTACTGACTGTAAGTGTTAAGAAAATGTAAAGTAGCAGAAAACTTTCAAGCAAGAAAAGACTTTATGCCAGTGTAGTTTATTTATTTATTTATTTTTGTATTTATTTTTTTAAAGATACCTTTATTGCTTTTTTGTTGTTGTAGCCGTTTTTGGCCAGGACTGGGTTTGAACCCACCACCTCTGGTATATGGGGCTGGCGCCCTACTCTGTGAGCCACAGGTGCCACCCCTGCCAGTGTAGTTTAAATAGTAATTAAAAGGTCTGGGTCTAACTAAGCTGGGTCTAAGAACATACTGAGAAAGCATTGGCCATTTAAAATCTTTTCTGAAATAATGTGGAATAGAGGTAGATAAATAAGAGTTGAGAAATTGTTCTTGAGGATGTAGTCTATATATTTAATTATAACAATGATTTAGGTGAGGAGAAGAAAGGACTTTGACATAATTTGGTTCAAGGATTAAAAGAAATTCAGCATAAACTTGAAGAGACCTTGTTTTAAATTGTGAAAATCAGAGATGACCCTTAGCATGTATATTATAAATCTTCTTTCCCTGATTGAGCAGATGGTACTATAAATAAATACAATTTGTTTTATTCAGGTAACTGTGGTTTTAAGAAGTAGAGCTGTAAGCCCAGAAGTAGATGGCCCAGCATTGCCATCGAGGAGCCCTGCCTCCCACTCTCTCTGCCTCCTAGAGCATGTTGGTTTTCTTCTTGGTGCTTGTTGCCTTGTGGTTATGAGATGACTGTGATAGTTTTATTTACCACAAGCTTTTTCTAGTCCGTAGGAGCAAGAAGGGCTTTCTTTAATTTAAAAAAAAAAAAAAAACTGTTAATAGTGAATCTTCGGTTTTGTTTTATTGGGTATAGAAGCCCTTTCCAGGGACATTTTCCCACAGCTAATTGACCAGTGTTGGGTCTTTGGCAAAGGAGGCTGGGAATTGAATGTTGTACTGGGCTAGGCTCCATAGTAAATAGTGGCAGGGGAGAAGGTGGTGTGAGTGGTTCGGGGCACCATTCCACAGTGCCCCACATACCTTAGGTCTGGACTCAGAGATCACCTGAGGCAGTTTTCTCATTTACGGAAAATAGAACACTGGTAGGTACTAGCAGAATTATGAGCAAAGAAGCTGGTTAAAGTTGAGATATAATGCTGGAGATTAGTGAACAGCTTGTTGGAATTCTAGTGTCATTCATCAGAGTTCTTTTTTTTTAAATTTTTTTTTTTTTTTAAGACAGAGTCTCATTATGTCACCCTCTGTAGAGTGCTGTAGTGTCACAGCTCACAGCAACCTCAAACTCTTTTGGGCTTAAGCAATTCTCTTGCCTCATCCTCCCAAGGAGCTGGGACTACAGGCACCCGCCACAATGCCTGGCTATTTTTTGGCTATAGTTGTCATTGCTGTTTGGAAGGCCAGGCCTGGGCTGGGCTCAAACCCACCACCTCCAGTATATGTGGCTGGTGCCCTAGCTGCTTGAGCTACAGGCAACGAGCCCTGCTTTTTAAATTTCTAACTTAAAAACTTTTAAATTCCAGAAAAATAAATAATGGCATGTTTATATGGTCAAAGTTTATTTTCTAATGTTTTATATGTTTTAAGGAGAATTTTGTTGGTTTGAGATTATCTATCATAACGTCAGTTATAATTTTTTAAAAGCTGGAAGTGGTAAGATTTTTCCATAAATAACTTGCTTCTGATTTAAGTAGAATATAGCCTCACAAAGAGGGAATTTTCCTGTCTACACTTTGTCCTATTTCAGGATTAATTTGTAGGCACTTTGATCACAAATTTTCTAGGAATTTCTTACATACTCTTCCTATTTTGGTTCACATCTCTACTGTCTTTGCCATAGTTGTTGTGATATTTAGTGTTTTAATTGTAGCTGTGAAAAAGAATGCCGTTGACTCTCTACTTGGTTTGATCCGTTTCAGCATCTGCTGTCCATTTAAATCTTCGAAACTTAGCCAAGTCATAGGAGGGGTACTAGTAAGATAGATCTCGTTACAGCAGCCGTCTGTGCTGCCGTGACAGGTGCTCTGTGCTTGGAAAGTGTGATACATGTGTGTTATGTGTGTGCCTCCGTATGTGTGTGTGTGTATAAATATTAGAAATTAGAAAATGTTTCGTTTTGTTTGGCTTTGATATCTTTATAAAAACTATTTTCTAAATTAAGATTATAAAAATTTAGTATCTTTTAATCAGGAACATGCAAGCTTTTTTCTTCTTGTTTTAAGCCTTACTAAGAAAACTGTCAGTGGATTAGATTTTGAAGTCTAGTTCGTTTCCCTTTTTCATTTTACTTGCTATTCAAAGAAACCGCCACTACATTATCATCAGAACAAAGTTTTCTGATGCTTCTGTTTCCAAACATTGCCATTGACACTTACAGACCTGGGAGCCACTAGATGAGAAGCATGTGATTTCTTTACATTATTTACCAAACTAGATAAGAGCCACTAGATGAGAAGCATGTGGTTTCTTTACATTATCTTCCAAACTTGGAACAGGAGAAGATAAAGTTAGTTTTGATTTAGTAAAATACCCTACATTGACTCTGTTGAGTAATTTTCTAAAAGGGTAGTTTCAGAATAGGCATTAGTGATTACAGATGCTATGTTATGTCAGTAGTTTGAATGGTTCAGTGAAATTCAGGATACTTGTGTGTTGTGTGCTGTTCATTAGTAATAAGCATGTGTTTAAAATAACTTACATTTTTATTTTCTGTAGACAATGGGATGAACAGTTGGATCCTCGACTAAATGCAAAACAGAAAGAGGCAGTTCTGGCCATAACCACTCCACTTTCTATACAGCTGCCGCCTGTCCTCATCATCGGACCCTATGGGACAGGCAAAACGTTCACGCTAGCTCAGGCCGTCAAACACATTCTGCAGCAGCAGGAGACTAGGTGAGAGGGTAGCATGTGTGCTCACGTTTCACTCAGAGGGCACCACCTCTGTTCTCATTGGAAATGCAAACCGAGGGTCAGCGAGGCAGTGTTCATTCAGCTCCTTAATGTTAAAAGCAAAAGGAAAAACCCAAACCCGTAAAATTTGCATTTTCTTAAAACATATTGTTTTTAAAAATTGGCACTATAGGCAAAGATAGTTTTTAAATAGTCATGAAAACGTCTAGGCTGCTAAAGAATTGTGCTGTTAGAGACAAAGGAGTTGGGTTTAAAAATATATACATTTTATATGCTAGATTAAAAAAATAATTTCAGAGAACTTCCTTTTTAGCATAAAGAGTAATATAATTTCCTACAGGCATCATTGAATAATGTCAGGGATTACTGAATAGGTTGAGGGAAATGTATCTTAAGATGGCCACTGCTTTTTTTTGTATTATACTGCTTGAATAGTTTTGTGTTTTATCATTATTTTTATTTGCACCATTTATTTCAGCAGGATTCTCATTTGCACCCATTCTAATAGTGCTGCTGATCTCTACATAAAGGATTATTTACATCCCTATGTAGAAGCAGGCAATCCCCAGGCAAGACCTCTCAGGTATTTTTTTAAGGCTTATTATGTATCTGTATCATACTTTATTATTCTTAAGAAAAGGTGTCTGTAAAGATTTTAGTACCTTTGGAAATACCAAAATCTTGGTGTTGGCATTTGGCAATTTGGAGGTTGTCTTTTGAAGAAACCGTTTAAATTAAGGAAAAATGTAAAAACCTTTGAGCATTCATTTCTAAAACATTAAGCAAAGAGAAAGACATCCTTTTTTAAGTTCTGTGTATAAAAATGTTGTTTCAATCTGAGTTGATTTTGATATGTACCTCTAAAAGCTAGTGTGATGAAATAATATCAATATGATTAAGTCAAATTTAATTTCAGTTCTAGCATATTTTGCATGGCGGAGTAGTCATGCAGTGACAGTTCTTTATGAAAGTAAAAATTCGACTGTGATCATGCAGGTAATTTCATAACACATTAGAGAAACATGAGATATTGAAATGATTTCTTCATCAAAGTATAATTGATTGGTATTTAACTACTTTTTGCTACCATTTAAGAGTTAAAGTGTCAAAGAAAATTTTAGACTCATAGAGAAAGGTCCTCTGCGTATATATGGACATGAAATGCACTTAAATGCAGGATTGTGGGGGAATAAAAATCCTTTTCTTCAGAAAACAATAAAGAATCATTAAGTGGTTGTTTATTATACCATTTGCTTTCATTGTTATATGAATTAATGTTTAGTTTTGCCATTTTACAAACTAATATGTCATGCCCTAGGTGGTTTGAATACAATTATTGTTTATAAATTAATTTTTAACCATACTTTTGAATCATAACTCACTAACATTTTATTTCTACTTGAGCCCAGGCATGAAAAAAATGAAATTATGCTATTTAATTCTTCAATAACCATAACCAAAGCCATTTGAATGGTTTTAGAATTGCAGTAAAAATAAACAAAAGAGGGAAAAAAGTGGTGTGGCCTGTTAACACAGGTTTTTATGCCATATTCAGAGATAATTATTTTAAGTAGAATCCAGTTGTCGTTAGTAAGAAAATGTCACCTGTATGTAATCACTATAAATGAAAATATGGTATTTATTGGAGGATAAATCAATAACTACTTTGCTTTAGATTCTAATCTTTTTATATTGTAAGTGAAGGTTGAGTAGCCAGCATTTTTGCTGTGTGTTTTTACTTTATTGGAGATAAGTTGTATGTTCTGTTTGCTTTTATTATTGGTAGATTGTGCGTGTGTGCATGTGCATGTGTATGATTGTAGGAAAGGTGATAGCCTTAATTATCATGTTTATTTGTCTTGGAAACAGTGAAGTAAGCCCCTTAAATCTGGGTTGACATTGGGACTATAGAACTAGTTGATGAGTATTAAAATTCATTATTTAGCTAGGTTATATTTAATATTTTTCATGTAAAATTATTTTTTGGAGATTACAATACATGTGCTACATGGATATGTTTAGAATAAGGGGTTATGTTCAAATAGGTAATGTCTATATTGTAATGGTCCAAATACAGACAGTTGCCATGTAGCAGAAAGTCTCACCTGTCTATAATAGTCTCAAGAGTGATTCAGTACAAGATGGAAAAATATTTAAATACGGTGTATTCAAATACAAATTGCATGTTATTTCATTTAGTAAATAGAATAAACTGAGAAAAAGTCTTTCTTCCTCAGATACAGTGGAACCTCTGTAGTTGATCACTTCCCTACCTCGACCTCCTCCTTAAGTTGACCTAATTCTCAGACGTGCACTGCATGTACATATCAGGACAGCAGGCCTCCTTCCTTATGTTGACCGGTTCGTTACAGTCCCTTGGATGGTCAGCTGGCTGAGGTTCTACTGTATTTTCTTGATGACATCCTACATTTAAACCATAGTTTTTTCTTTGGGAAAGGGGTTAACTTGCTAATGTATTTCCTAGGAGGATTGATGCTTTGAATTGTTAGGATTTATTAGCACCATCTATTACATTAACTCAGATTAATTTATAATTTTCTTAATGGACAACAAACAGGATCAATTTGAGAGAAATAGAAAATTAGAATGACTGAGTATCCTGGGATGATTAGCTTTCTCTGAGTTGTTCCAGGATGCAGGGGAAAGAACACCAGAGGGCACTACGTGTCTGCACATGACCGTGAAGACTGGCATTTCCAGGGAGCAAGGCTAATAAAGAGTTCACTGCTTCACAGTATAGTCGAGACCAAGCCCTGGAGAGTGCCACAGTGTGAAAATAGTCACAAATGTTGAATAGTCAATGTCTTTAAATACACATTACTTATGATTAAAATTTATAAAATTCTAATAGGTGACAAGAGTTGAACTGAGCTTAACATATCTGAGGGTGGAGGTTTTAGAAATCATTTTAGATCAAGTGTAGTTTCAGTTTTTGCTTCTTCATTAGAATTAGAAGATTTTAAAATGGAATCAGAGGAAAACATGGTTTCTTTTTGTATATGGTTCTGAAGATCATTATTAGGTTCTGGCACAGTTATGGCTTAGAAGATAGAGGTTATGCATGGAGAAGGCGAGCAGTTAGTACTTTCTGGGCAAATTGAAGGCATTTGTTATTTTAGATTCATCTTTAAAAAAACAAATTTTTTCTGGTATCAAGTCTTTCTGATTCATAGTATCTTAGGTAATGTTTTTGTTTTATACGTTCCTCTTAGGTAATATTTTAAGGTTTTTTAAAAATTTATTGCATGTGATTGTAATAGGTGGATAAAATTTTAGTGAATTAAAATTATATGTTATCAAATTATCTCCTATTTTAAGAATTATTAGAATTCATGTGGGATGTGTGGATTGGTCTGTTTCTGGAAAAAAATCTATAAATTAATTGATACTAATCTGTAATTTAATATTGCTTATATTTTATACTGTGAGCTTGCAGGTATCTTTTGTCACTGTCAGTTCTTTGATTTCAAGAAGTCTGAGGTGTGTTTTAAATGTTGGCATACAATTAAAGTACAGAGAATATATGTAAATCTTTTTTTTATGTTAATAGAGTGAGAGAGTACCAATTGAATTCCAGTACCCGGTACATGTATATGTTGCATAGCTTTGAAGTCTGGGCGTTTGTACCTATTCCTGTTACGCATGTAGTATATATGGTGCCCCTCTCCCTCATCCCTTTCCTCTCCCCTCCCTTTTAAATCTCCAGAGTCCATTATACCACTCGGTGTGTCCTTGTGTGGCTGTAGCTCACCTTCCATTTATAAGTGAGAACAAGCTTCATTTATTTTTCTGGTCCTGAGTTACTTCTCTTAGGATAATGACCTCCATTTTCATCTAAATCGCTGCAAAATACATTATTTCATTCATTCTTATGGCTGAGTAGCATTCCATATTCCATACATACATATATAAACACCACATTTTTTTATCCACTCAATGATTAATAGACACTTAGGTTGATTTCATCCATATCTTTGCAAATGTGAATTGTGCTGCAATAAATATACAAGCGTGGGTATCTTTTTGATATAATGATTTCTTTTCCTTTAGATAGATGCCCAGGTGTGGGATTATAAAATTGAATGGTAGGTCTACTTTTAGTTCCTTGAGAAATATCTGTACTGATCTCCATAGAGGTTGTACTAATTTACACTCCTGCCAACAGCGTATAAGTATTCCCTTTTCACCACATCCAAAGCCAACATCCATTGTTTTTTATTTTAATAATGGCCATTCTAATTGTAGTAAGATGGTATCTCATTGTGTTATTTATTTATTCTTTTTCTGAGACAGAGTCTTATTATGTTGCCCTCAGTAGACGTCACAGCTCATAGCAACCTCAGACTCTCAGGCTTACGCCATTCTCTTGCCTCAGCCTCCCAGGTAACTGAGACTACAGACACCTGCCATGACGCGGCTATTTTTTTTTTTTTTTTTTTTGGTTGCGGTTGTCATTGTTGTTTAGCAGGTCCAGGCCAGGATGGAACCTACCAGCCTAGGTGTATGTGGCTGACATCCTACTCACTGAACAAAACCATCGTGGCCCGTTGTGTTTTTTGTTGTTGTTGTTGTTTGTTTGTTTGTTTTAGGTTTTTGGTTTTTTGAGACAGAGTCTCACTCTGTGGCTCTGGGTAGAGTGTTGTGGTATCCTAGCTCACAGCAACCTCAAACTCTTGGGCTGAAGTGATCCTCATGCCTCAACCTGCCTAGTAGGTGGGAACAGGCATCATTGTGGTTTTAATATGCATTTCTCTGATGATTAGTGATGTTGAACATTTTTTCATATGTTAATTGGCCATTTGTATATTTTCTTTTGAAAAATGCCTGTTCATATCACTTGCGGGCTTTTTAAGGTGGTGGTTTTTTTTTTTCTTGCTGAGTTGTTTGCGTTACTTGTAAATTCTGTATATTGTAGGTTTGTCAGGGTCATGGTTTATAAATAATTTCTCCCATTCTGTCTATTTAGTCTTTATAAAATTTCTTTTGTTATACAGAAGCTTTTTAGATAAAATTCCACTTGTCTATTTTTGTTTTTCTTGCATTTGCTTTTGGGGTCTTAGTCATGAATTCCTTGCCTAGGTCAATGTCCAGAAGAATTTTTCCTAGGTTTTCTTCTAGTATTTTTATAGTTTCTGGTCTTTTAATTCTTTCATCCATCTTGAGTTAATTTTCATATGTGATGAGAGAGAGGTGTTAGTTTCATTTTTCTGTACTGACTAATGTGTACTTTCCCCAAAGTGTGTTTTGCTTGCTTTGTCAAAGATCACTTGGTTGTCAGGGCACGGTTTTATTTCTGGGTTCTCCATTCTGTTCCACTGATCTGTGGGTCCACTTTATGCCAGTCATGCTGTTTTGGTTACCATAGCCTTGCGGTATTTTTTGAAGTCAATAATGTGATGCCTCCAGTTTTGTAATTTTTACTTAAGTAAAATGAATAGTACTTGGCTATTCAGGCTCTATTTTGTTTGTTTGTTTGTTTCCATATGAAGTTTAGAGTTATTTTTTCTAATTCTGTAAAAAATGATGTCAGTATTTTGATAGGGATTGCATTAAATCTGTGGA